ATATGAGCATTTGTTTGAGGGATTTTTAGCCTGAGGAAGAGAGACATGATAGCGATCTTCATGCATTTGAAAGGCTGTCATGCAGAAGAGTGTTTATATCTATTTTGCTTATCCTCAGAGGCCATAGCTAGAGCAAATGGGTAGAAGTTTCAAGGAGCAAGATTTTAATCTAATAGAAAAATTTCCTAAACAATTATAACTATGTATATATATATAATATATATATTTACATTTTTAAAAAATTCAGACCCATGATTTCATTGCTGAGGGAGTGCTTGGTGATGAACTCCTACAAACAAAAGCAGCAGGAAGAGAGGGCAGGAGGGTGTAGCTCATGACCTGCTATGTAATTTATAATCATAGAGAGTTACTTTGGGCACTAATAGATTAAGTGATTTGCCCAGAGTCATAAAGCCAGTATGTGTCAAAGATATATATTTAAAAGGAATAGCAAGTTGTATGTAATAGATTTGCAGTTTCATGTGCAATCATCTTTTTTATTATACTATGTTATGGAAATCCTTGTTTTATTCCATAAATTTTTTAAAAAATAAATAAATAATTTTTAAATGTAAAAAAAAAAGAAAGGTGAGTCTTGGACCCAAGTCTTGAACCCTCTATCTTTAGACAAAGATAGAGAGATTAACTCTCTATTAATTATGCCATACTAACAATTACATCAGTCTAAAAGCAGAATGGGCTTCTATGAAAGGGACCCCTGTTGGGGAAGTGACAGAGGGGATCCATCCATAGAGCAGGTCTTACTTGTTGAAGTGTCCCTCTCAAGTTTCTTCTAATTCTAGTCTTAGATGATTTGAATTTTCAATACTAAATATTAAGTGGCTTTGATTGGTGGTTTATCATGCTAATCATAATATCTGAATGAGTAATAGATTTTGCTCAAAATGTATTGACATTGAAGTTGATTTGAAATTCACTGCTTCTTTTTCACCATTTGTGTATAGCTGATGAGCCCATCTGAAAATAATAACAGGCAAATCTGCAAAAGGACAATGGTAGACTGATAGATAAGAGAGAGGGTGACAGGATACCTCGTAGAATCTTAGATTTGGAAGGGATCTGAGATATTATCTAGTCCAATTCTTTTCATTTTATAGACAGATAAAAATAAATGATTTAGATCAGAAAGAGATGGATAGGTAAAATATGGGTAGAAAAGGGATATAGAGATGGGTAAAGAGAGATGATTGATGAAAACCACATAGAGATGGATGACAGACATAAATTACAAATTTCCACATCTGTCAAGTGAAGGGGTTGACTCATACTAGGTCTCCAACACATAGTCCATATTTGTTTTGAGTTTCCATAACTGGTTCATTTGCAGTACTATTGTCCAAATCTTTGTCTCTCTTTAGAAAGACTTGTTTATCAAATTACATAGTCATGTAAACAAAGGAGCTAAGAGTTGTACAGTATCACTTGGGCTGGGATTCAAGTAGCCAATCCAGTAGCTGGCGAATTAAGGTTGTGAGACCCCTAACTAAATGATCTCTAAGGTTTCTTCCAACTTTAATGTTAATAGATGGTTAGAGAGATAGATAGATCCCACAAAAGTACAAAAAGCCCTAGAAATCATAGCTAGAGAAAATGCATGACATTCTACTGTCTCCCACCTTTTATCACCAAGTTAAAAAGAAAGCCATAGATGATAATAGCTGACATATATAAAGTGTTCTAAGGTTTTAAAGGCCCTTTCCTCATACTGAGCCTCGAAGGTGTATAACATATCATTACCTTCCTTTTACAGATTGGGAGCCTGACGCTCAGGAGGGAGCAGGTGACTTCACCACCTCAGTCATACATAGCAAGAAGCAGAGTAAGAGGCTTAACAATCATTTATTTCAGTCCTTTTCTTTTACAGATGAGAAAACTGAGGCCCATCGACCTAACGTGACCTGACCAAAGTTACACAGAAAAATAAAGCAGTATGTTATAGTCCTGGCCCTGGAATCGGAAAGATGGGATTTCAAATACCATTTCTGACACTTGCTAGCTCTGTAGCTTTGAGCAAAACACTTGCTCTCTTCATCTTTAAAATGGGGACAATAATACCTGTAGCATACACTTCAGAGAGTCGTTGTGAGCTCAAATGAGAAAAGAGATGAAAAACAGTTTGCAAATTAAATTATTATTGGCAAAACTGGAACTGGCATCCAGGCCTCCTGAGTGTACTTGCAGCTGTTGGGGATTTCCAGGTGCCTTAACCATGTTGTAGGTCACTCTTGACAATTTTAAATCCTTTACTAGTTTCTCCTCAAGGTCTGGCTTGCCTCTCTCTATACCACCCAAAGTCATATGTTCAGGGAAACATAAGTTATGATAATGTAAGCTTAAGAAAGACCTAATTAGAAAGGTAAATTTTCTGCAACATAATGCATTCCAAAGCTGCGCTGCAGTGAGTCTCTCTTGATTGGCTGCCTCCAATTATCCATGTCTCTGCTCCTCTGTCCTGAATGGCTGCAGATAATGGAGAGTGGACCACATTTCCTGTAGCCCCTACCCTTTTTCACCTCCCCCAAGAAGTGCCCACATGTCACAGGAGCAAAAAAGTTATCAAACACCCACAGATTCATCTTGGGAGCAAGAAACACATCCAGGCGACAACTGGTGCTCAGTAAATGCTGCCGCCTAGGCTGTTGTGATCATCAGTGTCATCGCTAATAATGGAATAATAAATCTTGGTTCAAAACTGCTGAGGTTTCTGGTTCTAAATCCAGTCTCCCAGGCCCGGAAACCAGCATGAATCTTAACAACGATTTACTCGACAACAGTTACTGAATGGGATGCAAGGATAATAATTGCTATTCTTTACTGCACTGGGCATGACATGAGGCAGAGAGGCAGATGCAGGCTTTGCCTGATGGGACTTAGAGGCTAAATCAAGCAGAGCTATTCAGGCCACCCAGTCCCTGAGTGCAAGGAGGAGTCAGACAATCAACTTCTACCTTCTCTTCTCCTTGCCTCGTGTTGTCGTTAGAATCTGGACATTTGGATCATCAGAGAACCCAGATGTAAAAACTGGAAGGGACCTCAGAAATCAACTCAATCAACAATTTGCCATGATAGTCCAAAAAGCAAATAATACAATTTTAGACTTAGTGAAGAGAGAGGGTGTTAGAACAAGAGTAGGGATGGGGAGAGAATGAAATGAGGTAATGTTTGTGAAGTGCTTAGCACAGTAGTTGGCATATAGTAGATACTTAATAAATGCTTATCTCCTTCCCTTTCCTCCCCTCTACTTTGCTCCTGCCATATATATGGAATAGTGTGTTCACTTCTGAGTGGCACATTTTAGGAAGGATATTGACAAATTAAAATGCCTTTAGAGGAAAATGATCAGGATGGGAGGAGGACTGAAGACCCTGCACTACAAGCATCAGTCTACAAGACGGTGTTTGTAAGAATCATAGAATCACAGAAGTTAAGAGTTGAAAGGTGCATCTGTGGTCATGAACTCATACAGCAAAGGAATCCAGCTTCTACTGGAAGACTTCCAACAGGGAAACTCACCAGCTCTGGGATTGTTTTTGCTTTTCTTTGTATCTTCAGCATTGATGTGGTGCTCCTCCCCCAGCACATAGGAGACTCTTAGTAAATGTTTGTCCACCACTTATTGAGCTCTCTAAGTGGCCCATTCCACTTTTGGACAGCTCTAATTGTTAGAAAGTTCTTCCTGACATGGAACCCAAATTAACCTGTTTGCAACTTTCATGGATTCAAGAGCAATTAAATATATTCCATTTGATCCCCAAGGGCAGAACTCAGAACAATAGACAGGCATTACAGAGCTGTAGATTTAACTAGATTTTAGGAAAAATTTCCTAACAATTAGTGATATCCAAAGCAGAAAAATAGCTCAGGAGGTAGTAGATGAAGATCTCATGGTTTTCCATCCTAACGAAAGGTCTTCAAACAAAGGACACTTTGCGGATGACCACTTGTTGGGGATATGAGGATATTGTCAAGTGGATTCTTAGATAGACATAGGCAGAACAAGTTAGCAGACTTTGGGATCTTTTCCAGCTCTGATATCCTGTGATTTGATCTAACTCCCTCATTTGCCAGATAAAGGAAAACAAACCCCAGAGTGATTAGACATGACATAGAGTCATTGAGAAAGCATTGGATTTGAAGTCAGAAGTCCTGGGTTTAATACTAACTCTGCCATTTATCCTCTGTATGACCTTGGTCCAGTCACCATGCTTCTCTGTACCTCAGTTTCCTTACCTGTAAATGGACTAAATATTTGTTGCATAATAAGTACTTTTTTGAAACACCAGAATCTAGTCACTAGATGATCTCTAAGGTCCCCTCCAGCTCTGAAAAATAAAATTATGAGAGCATTCTCTGTTGTATATTAATGGGTAGCAGAACTATGCCTAGAAACTACTCTTCTGAATTCTCAGTTTAATGGGCTTTCCAACACCCTATACTGCCTCAACATACCCATTCTATAGATGACAAAGGCAAGGAGCAGAGCTACATAAACATGAGGCAGCTAGGTAGTTCAGTGTCTAAAGCACAAGGAAGACCTGAGTTCAAATCCATCCTCAGACAATCACTAGCTGTATGTGACCCTGACAAATCACTTAACTTACTCTATTTGCTTCAATTCCCTCATCTGTAAAATAATAGCACCTACTTCCCAATGTTTTCATGAGGCTCCAATGAGATAATATTTAAAAGCACTTTGCAAAATTAAATTGTTATATAAATGCTAGCTAGTATTGTTCTTGGGGCAACTAGATGGCCCAGTGGAGTCAGGAAGACTCATCTTCCTGAGTTCAAATCAAAGCCTCAGACACTTACTAGCTGGGTGACCCTGGGCAAGTCACTTAACTCTGTTTGCCTCAGTTTTCTTACCTGTAAAATGAGCTGGAGAAGGAAATGGAAGACTGCTCCAGTATCTTTGCCAAAAAAAAACCCAGATAGGGTCATGAAGAGTTGGACACAACTGAAGAACAACCATCATTGTTCTCGCATTGCACATAGTAGGCCTTCAATAAATACTTAACTGAAGGAATGAAAAAATAAAGTGAAATATAACAAGGGCAGGGCACAGACAAAATATTAACTCATGGAATCTCAGAGCTGGAAGAAACCTTGATGGTCATTTATTTCTATTGTCTCACCTGGTGCACGTCTAGCCCCACTGGCAGGGAGAACTCAAATCCCCACTAATGGGTGACTGAGTTACTGGGACTACATCTGTTATTAATCAGCTGTCCTGGGAGAAAGGGTGTGGAGTGGGGGCTCTACTACTCACCAAAAGGAGGGGTGTATTGGATGAAAGCTCCCTGGGAGGAGAAGCCAAGCACACACCAGCAGGCAGGGAATCCCCCAGAATTAATTGCTCACCACCCTGTCATGGTTGGTGATAAATTGGCAGTTACTGCCTTCCTATACAGATAAATGAGCCATTTTTTTAGCAGCCCGAATCTTGATGATCTTTGGCCTGATTAAACAGGTCTGGGAGTCAGCTCTTACCACTTCTAAACACTGTAATGACCCCACCTGAGAAGAGAAAATTTGGAGCTTATCAGATGCAGGTGGGAACAGCTGTATTCCTTGAGCAAATGACTTGTCTTCCCTCCCTCGGATCTGAGCAAGAAACTGGCCACGTGACAAGATCCTATTAATGAGGTCTATGATTTGAATTCTGGCTGGGAGGCTGGGGCGTGGGAGTGGGGAAGTCAGCAGGCTGAAATAGCACCTTGTTCTGTTAGTCAAATCTCAAGATAGTCTTTGCAAGCAAACCTTGCATTTTCTCCTGGGGAATCAGATCATTCCTTTCAGAAACTCTCAGGTTCTTGAGATCAGGAGGACAGAAAAGACCTTGGCGCAGCTTCCTAAATAAGATTCCTAAGGCACAGGTCTGATCCTACCATTCTCCTCCTCAAAAACCTTCAGTCATTCCCTCTTGCTCAGAAAATAAAATTCAAATTTATTAGCCTGAAATTTAAGGTTCTCCACAGTCCGGTTCTATCCCACTACCCTTTCCAGTATTATTTTATGCTTTACTCTTTCATATACTCTACATTTTAGCCAAACTGGACTATGAGCTGTCCCCTGACACTATCTTTCATTCTCTTCCTCTATGAGTTCATGTATGATGTTCTTGTGTTTGGGACACATTCTCTACTTATCTCTGCTGATTTCAGTCCTTGAAGGATTGGTTTAGGGGCCATTTCTCCCATGAATCCTTTCCTAATCTCCAGTCCTACCCCATCCCATTCTATCTCTCTCCTCAACTCTTTCTATAACATCATCCAGAATTTTCCATTTTCCCTGTCACATCTGATCCCAAGCTTCACTTATTTTGTATATACAAGGTATCTCAAAAGTTTTAGTTCAATTTTAGGCACTAATAACTTAAAACTTGGACTAAGGATTCCCTGCATTACAGGCCCTATGGAAGTTATAAGCTCTTTAGGACAGGAACTGTGTTGTTGTTTTATTTATATATTTGTGGTGCCTAGATTTCTCCTTCTCCTATCCTTTACAGGTGACTTCCTGTCCCCTCCAGCCTTCATCCTCCGGCTCCCTCTAAGACTTTGGGCCCTGAGACTTGGGGATTTGATAGGGGAGCTTTTATTTTTAACCTTATCTTGCCCAGAACCAGACTTCCCCAGCCACATCCACACCATGCTCCCAGATATGCCCCCCTGCTCTCCCACACATTTTTGAACTCCCCTTTTATTTAATGTGTTATTTTACCTTATTCAAATATAAAAGCTTCTTAGGTCTAGACTAATCTTGCTCATTTTTGCACTTGTATCCTTCAGCTCTTAAAACAGTGCCTGCCACAGTCAATCAACCTATCTAAATAAACCTATTACCTACCTAAAAGTTTACAAGATCAGATTTGCAAAATAAGTTCTTACCAGCTCATATTAGTGCCACCCTCTCCCTGGCTAATAGCTTATTGTTCCTATATTTTAAGCAATGGTCCAGAAATTCAAATCCTTTTCTCATGTACCCCTTTTTAAAAAATAATAATATTTTATTTTCCCCAATTACATTTAAAAACAATTTTTAATATTCATTGTTGGTTTTTTAAGTTTTGAATTCCAAATTCTATTTCTCCCTCTCTTCCTCTCCCCACTTCCTGAGATGGTAAACAATCTGATCATATACCCTTTTAAAAACCTGTTATTCACTCCCTGGGGCAGCTAGCTGGTGCAGACTTGCCTTCATGAGTTCAAATCTGACCTCAGACACTTAATAGCTGTATGACCTTGGGCAAGTCAACTTAACCCTGTTTGCCTCAGTTTCATCATGTGTAAAAAGAGCTGGAAAAGGAAATGGCAAACCACTCCAGTATCTTTGCCAAGAAAACCCCAAACGGGGTCACAAAGAGTCAGATACGACTGAACAACAACTATTCACTCCCTATATTCACCTTTCTTTTATGAATCCCCTCCCTTCAATAGGTCCAATAAGGAAAACACCATTTATGTACCTAAGGTCATAGATTTTTTTCTGTCCAGAACTTCATGTTCCTATTTTCTGTCTGATTCCTAGTTTCTTCTGACAGTTTCATTTGTCAGCACAAGAATCACCAGGAGTGGCTAGTAGGCTAATAGATACCAGGTATGGCAAGTCTGGGCAGGCTCCCTGTTCCATCCCAGATACAGGTCTCAGGAAGACAACAAACCTCCTGATTGTTTATCAGGCCGACAAATATCTCACTCTGTAACTCTCGGCAGGGAGTCACCAGTCACTACTTGTGCTTTTCTCCTCTGGCCATTAATTATGGAACCTTGTGGTGACGAGTCTATTGCACCTCACTGGGGTGAGGACGCCTTAAGCTCCACTTTTTCATCAAGGTGGGTTGGAAAATCAGTTCCTCCTCCATCAGAGGTTTATACCAGAGTGAAACATACTGTCGTCAGCTTAGAAAGAATTCCTTGCTCATACTCACTTTTCATTGGTTCCACACATATTCAGTGGTAACCATAAAGATAAAAAAATGACAGCCCAACCCATCCTAGAAAGGGCAAGATGTTGCTGCTTTAAGCCCTCTGATATGGCACTTCAGTTCTCCAACACATGGTCCAATGTCATGGCTGAGCCCATAGTACTCATTTGGGTTGCACTTTTACATCATAATATAGCATCTGAGGATTCACATACATCCTAGGGAAGTTGGAGAGTTACTTCCCTAACTCCCACTTGCATTGGTAAGCCAGGTACCTAGAGATATTGGCAAGCTTCTACTTCTCTTGGGGTTCAAGGGGTACCCCTGAGGGGCTAGGGTTTCTAGTGCTACTACTGCTACTCACAAGCCCCTACTGGTATTCCTCCCATTAAAATCAGTCAGTTCAATTAGCTATTAGAAAAGAGTTTTACTGAGAAGATATAAGAAGAATAGTTGGTATAAAACAATCTACAAACTTGGGCACACTCTCCCCTTGTACACACTTGGAAGAGTGGGTTTAGCCTTAAAGTACAAAGGTTGTTATGAGGCATACATGTAGGGAACAAATGTGGCAAAGGGGTGCCTCTCAAGTCCTGGGATTAGGAGTTGTTTTTTTTTCCTTTGTGAAGCTTTTTTAAATCTCCCTTAGGTGGAACTTTCTTCTGGGCACTGGGAATCAGTGCCTTTGAAGGATGAATAGCCATGACTTATCTCTGACAAAGAGGGTCACAATGCCTGAAGCTGCCACCATTATCAGGTAACTGTCTTTCTATACACAGAAGTATTTCTTCTGTCATAAGATACTAGTCTGGAAGGGGAGGCATCTCCAGTCATTCTGATCTGCATCTCACCACTGGACCCAGATGGCTCTGGAGGAGAAAGTGAGGCTGGGGACCTTGCACAGACCTCACTCCCTTGCTTAAATCCAATTCACTTGAAAGTCATGGCACCATCTTCCTGATGTCACGGTCCTCTTTAAGAACAAAGAACAAACAACGACATCAACAACAGCCACTACTCTGACAGCCACTCAATAGTAAGAGAGGAAAGAGGAGAGAGAGGAGAGGAGAGGAAGAACACTCTGAATGAGGCACGTGCTCCTGGCCTCAAGGAACTTACCATCTAGCTGAGGAGATAGGATTGTCTGCACAATATAGAACTAATATATAATAAATAAATAAATAAATAAAATAAATACTAGATAATAACTATACAAATCAGTATAGATAAATACCAAAATAATGTAGAGAATTCACAGCATGAGTTTCAAAGAAGAATGAGATTACCTAACACGAGGCAAACAACAATAACAACACTTAGCATAGCAACAATGCCTGATACACAGTAGGTGATATATAAATGCATATTTCTTTCCCTTCCCGCAGCCCACTAACCTTGGACAAATATGTACAGGTAAAAGATAGAGCATATGGTGGGCCTTGAAGGTAGCATTCCTCTTGGGAAGGTGAAAGGCATTCCAGGACAAAGGGAATGTCCTGCAAAAACACAAAGTAAGACCTTTTAAGGGTCTATAGCATTTATCTCTGTGACATAGGGTCACAATCCCCGACACTTCCATTGTTCCAAAGTAAAGGCCTTTCTACATCCAGAGGTGTTTCCTCTGTCATTGGCCACTGTTCTGACATCAGCCACTTATGGCAGAAAAGGGGAAGAGAGAGAGGAAGATGGAAACGAAAAGAGAGGGTAAGAACACTCGAAATGAGGTATGTATTCTCTCCTTTAGGGAGCTTACAATATAATTCTTTTCTTTTCTTTTTTTTTTAGGGGGGTGGAGGCAGTCAGGGTTAAGTGACTTGCCCAGGATCATACAGCTGGTAAGTGTCTGAGGTAGGATTTAAACTTGGGTCCTACTGACTCCAGGGCTGGTGCTCTAGCCACTGTACCACCTAGCTGCCCCTATAATTTTTTTCAAGAACCACAGTAATGATGAGGCAGAATGATAAGAAATGATGATGATGGTGATGGTAATGGTGATGATGGTGATGATGGTGGTGGTGGTGGTGACAATAATAATGAACCTATAAATACTGAGAAAATGGAGCTAAATATTGCAGTGATAGTGAAATTAAAGACTCAGGAATTTGAAGGAGCTCAGAAACACACATATATAACATTGCCTCATTGAATAACTTCCCTCTTTGCCCTATAATTATTATGCTTCAAGGGTGCATAATTTCATCAACGTGGTAGTCGTGAAGGGAGTGATCGATCCCCTAACACAAATGACCACCTCTCACACCTTGGTATAATGTCTTCTTGAGTTGTTTAGGCCAAAGATGTTCATTACCCTATGGCCAACCTATCAGGGTACAATTTTTCCTTCAACTTATCTAGGGTTTGGTTTGGTTTTTTCCAATAATAGATACACTGGTCTTTCATTGGGCCTATACTTGAAGACTTTCTAGCTTATTAGGATCTACCAGGATCAGTTCTTTTGTCAGGGACTTCAAAAACTCAGGTCACTTCCACACTATGATGAGACATAGGACTTTAATGGAGGTGCTATACCTTACGGGACTTATTATCTGTTCAATATTATTTCTCCCCTTTACCATCCTTCTAAGCACAGTTTAGGTCCGTACTTCCTGCATGAAATCTTCCCTGATTAATCTAGTCCACTATTATTTCTCCCTTCTCTGAACCCAGCCCTTTCTATCTCCTAGCCTGATAGATTCTCTTGCAGCCTTGAAGGCACTGCTAAAGTGCCACCTCATATGTGAAAACGTTCCTGAATCCCTCAGTTATTTATTCTCTCTCTCTCTCTCTCTCTCTCTCTCTCTCTCTCTCTCTCTCTCTCTCTCTCTCTCTCTCACTCTCTCTCTCTCTCTCTCTCTCTCTCTCTCTCTCTCTCTCTCTCTCTCTCTCTCTCTCTCTCTCTCTGTCATCTTGTATCACTTTGTGTATCTATCATCTTGACTCATCCATGGATGTATTGTATCTTCCCCCCCCCCGACACCCAACCCAGTAGAATGTGTTGTCTTTGAGAGCAGAGATTGTTTTGTTTTTCTTTGTAGCCTCAGTGCCTTGCCCACGTAATAATTTTTAATTGAATTTTATTGAGTTGGTTTATAACAGGGGCTCCTCATTTTGTTTTGTTTTAGACCATGGACCCCTTCATCAGTCTGATGGAGACTTTGAACCCCTTCACAGAATGTTTTTAAATTCACAAAATAAAATACACAAGAAAACCAATTATATAGAAATCGTTTTCAAAATATTTTTCAAAATAAGTTCATCAACCCCAGGTTAAGAACCCCTGGACTATTTACAGAGTTAGAATGATATAAAGGGAAATATTCTGGATACTCTTGTGAAACATAATAGAATTAGAACTACATGGTCTCTGATCGAGTTGCTAACATTCTTGGTGGGTGAGACAAAACACATATGCAGCATTCATAGCACATAGAGGAAAAGGCATAAGACCTGAAGCCGTGAAAACCTGAGTTTGAATCCTAATTATGCTACTTGCTATCTCTGTGACCTGGAGTAAATTACTTGTGAAACGTAACACTTGTATTTGTATCCCCAGCAACCATGTATACAGTGGTAAGCCGCAAGAGACCAGAGTTCAAGTTTCCTCTTGATCATTCACGTTGGGTAAGTCACTACACATCTTGGGCTTCACTTTTCTCATGTATCAAGTATAAAGACTGGGCTAGAGAATGGGTGTCTAATCTTTTCTGTGTCATGGGCCCCCTTTTGGTAGTTTGGTAAAGCCTATAGACCCCCTTCTCAAAATGTTTTTAAATGCATAAAATGAAATACGAAGGATTATAAGGAAAACTAGTCACACTGAAAAGCAATTATTTAAAAAAAAATTTGAATTCATAAACATTATATTATAAGGACATTAGTCACTAGATGGTCTCTAAGGGCCTTTTCAGCTCTAACATTCTAAAATCCTCTGAAATGAGACAAAAGATGTGAAAGTGTCCTAGAAAGTAAAAACTGCTATGCAAATGAAAGGAATCACCATTCAAGAGCAGGGAGGCTCTCAGAGATACTGTTCCCCAGCCAGACCAGGTCTCCCTCCTCCCCACCTTCACTCTGCTGGCTAAAACCTACATGATGAGTCAGGGCTGGGCATCTTGTTTCCGAGCCTCTGCTGACGTGGGAAGTCCATGAGATAATTATCAGCCAAGTGCCAGGTTATTTCTGTCTCCCAAGCAGGAGGACAGATCAGAAGGAGGCAAAGCCAGAAATAGTGAGCACAATTAGCAGGAAAGCTCCTGAGGGTACAATTACCATGTATTTATTAGTTCTGACCAGGTAAACCTCAGCACAGTTACCATCTTAGGAGAAGGTCCCACCTGGGCAGTGTAGGACAAGCCCAATGACCTCTGTTGTTTAGCAGCAGGGAACACTGGAAAGCTTACAGGAGCCTAGGAGTCTGGGTTCTACTCCCAGCTAGGATAGTCCTTAACTATGTGACCATGGACAAATTCTTTAACCTTGAAGAGGCTCAGTTTTTTCATCTGGAAATTAGAGGTGATAATGCTTGAACTACCTTCTGTAGAGGTTATTGTGGGCAATAGCACTTTGTAAATTTTAAAGCTCTATATAAATGTGAAGCATGATTTATTATCAGTAGAGACTGTATGGGGCTGAATGAGCAAATGAATATAGTGCTTAGGGTATGAAAGGACCTCAGAAATCATATTATCCAACCCCTTTGGGTGTGAGATGAGGACACTGAGACTCTAAGAGATGAAGTTACTTACTGAAAGCCTCTATAGCCACACAGCAGCAGAGCTGGAATTTGAACCCAGACCACACAGTGCAGACCCCACCCAGGACAGGACTGACATCCTTCTTCCCAGGGACCCCCTGCATCATAAATTATGTAGATTCCATGGCTCCAGGTTAAAGAATGGCTATTGGATAATCAGTCAATCAATCAGCTAGTAAATACTTGTCTGTGTGCCAGGAAGTACAAATATAGAGCAAGGAGACAATATATCCCTATACTCTGAGTCTGAGCAGCCCTGACTGGTGGATGAGTGAACATCTACCTCAGCTCTTCATATCTAGTTACTATGTTTCACATCACATCTAGCCATCCAGCAAAACACCACCCAAATAATCAAATCAACACTGCCAGGACAACTTTAGTTCAAATCCAGCCTCAGACACTTATCTGTGTGCCCCTGGGCAAGTCATTTAACCTGTTTGCCTCAGTTTCCTCAACTGTAAAGTGGGAAAAATAACACCTACCTTTCAGTGCTGTTGTAAGAATTAAATGTGATAATATTTGTAAAGCACTCAGTATAGGCTTGGTCCATAGTAGGTGCTATGGAAATGCTTATTCCTTTCTCCTTCCCCCTCCCCTTCCCATTTACTGTAACGGGCACAACAATTTACTGCCCTGTGGTTTCCATCATACTCCCAGTGACCTCCTAGACCAAAATTCCTTTCTTCACACTAGATTATGGTATCCCCTTATTAGAATGTAAGGTGCCTGAGGGCAAGAACTGGCTCACTCTTGGAATTGTATTCCCCAGCACCCAATGCAGTATCTGGCACAGAGGAGGGGCTTAAATACTGAGTGAATGACTCAGAGAAATAAGAAATATACAGAAAACCTTAAAAGAAGCACAACAATATACCTGTGAACTCAAGAAATTGTATGGAGTAATCAATCAGGTGAGTAGGGTTAATCAGCATGAGTATCCGGAGGCATCTCTTTCATCCCTTGATTGTCACGGCACCTGTTACAAAGTCAGACACATAAAAGGGCTCATACCTCTCAAGGGATGAGAACAGAATGGACATTAAGACCATCAGGACTGAAATAGCACTACGGTATAGTGGGAAGTCAGAAGTTATGGCTTCTCTTCCATGGCTATTGTGCCAGTAGACAAGTCAACCTTTTCGAGCTTCCTTCATTTGTAAAATAGGGATCCTTCACTTATTCAACAAGCATTTATTACTCAATAGGTAGCAGACAATGTGGTAGTCGCTTGAGGATCGAAGGCAAAAACAGAACAATCCCTGCCCTTCAGGAGCTTACATTCTACTGGGGGAAAGCAATAAATGACCTACCTACTTCACAGCATTTCGAGGAATAAATAAGTGCATGTAAATGTGCTTCTTAAACTGTGATGTGTTCTACAAGCATTGTATTGCTGTTTAGGACACTAGCCAACTAGAGGGGTGGGAATATTTTGTTGTGTGTGTGTGTGTGTGTGTGTGTGTGTGTGTGTGTGTGTGTGTGTGTGACTGAGTCTCCCTATTTCACCCAGCCTAAAAGTACATCAGCATCTCATGGGCCTGATCCCGATCCTCATCAGCATGGAAGCTTCAAGGTGCTTTGTTTTTCTGATCTTGGCCAGTTCACCCCTCCCCAGATAGCTTGTAGGCACCCTACCTCCACTCCCCATTCTGTCCTCACCCTACTCCTCTGAGGCTCACCGTATTGTTGCCTGACTTATGCAGACATCCAATTGGCTTCAGCCTTACTGAAGCTCAGAACTCCCAAGCTCAAATAATCCACCTGCATTAGCCTCCCTACCAGCAAGAACTCCAGAGGCACAGGCCACCACATTTGGTGATTAAGGTTTTTTTTATTTTTCCCAAAGCTTCCTCTGTGGGAGGCTAGACTGCATACTTCCAGCTCAGGGAGCCATGATCTTTTCCTGCAGCCAATGTATGTTACCTGACAGGGCCTTCTTCGCCCACTGCTGCTTCATCCCGTTTGTCTACTAGGAAGACAAAGAATGACAGCCCAGAGCAGAGCTTCCTTCTCCCTTGTCCCCAGTCATTCCAACCAGAGCATCCACAGTCTCCCATCCCTGGCTGTTGTTGACACAGTGAATAATGGAGTGTCATGTTTGTCTAATGGATTTATCACTACTTACGCATGCAGCTTCATCAACAAAAGCAGGTGAAAATCGATGGCTAGGAGGCTAAGTGAGCAGCACTTTCCCTTACAACTTGGCATTTATTGATAGTCTTTTGTCCACTTGGTGTTTGGGGCCCAAAGTAAAATTGAAAGCAGAAATAAAAATACCTCGGTTGTTCCTTGCAGACAGATCTTTGGCTCTGCCTCAGCACGGGGGGGATGAGCCTGGAACCTCTTCCCCAGGAGGAAAGCTACAAAAAGGCTCCTTGTACCCAGGAAAGATGGCGAAGGGGCTATGTGAGAACAAAATGGTACCAATCCTGCCAAGATGGAAGAAAGCTGTCTCTGCCAAAGCCCAACACATGCTGAAAGAGCGATTTTACTCTCGTTGTGCTTCCTGTGATGCCAGGGCTGGAAGGGCTGGGAAGGAAGTGGATGTAACTTGAAAGCATTCAACACTTCTGGGCAAATCTTTATTAGTATATGGAACTGAGAGCACCTGGCATACTCTAAGACCCATCTCTAAGATGGTTAGATCCTTCATTGATTAATGCATTCATTCAAGTAAAAGCATACCTTAACTAAAATGTCAGTTCTTGCTGATTAATATCCACACTAGGTGAAATATTGCAGGGGGTAGTTGAGTCCCTAGCAGCAATGTTGGAAACAGACAAACAAGTCACAGCAGACTTTCATGGGAGTGCAGTTTGTTTTTAAAGAGCTATAGATGATATTGTAAGGCTATGTTAATTGATAAAACCTTATGCCAGGTGTGTTTGTATTTAGTCAATCAAGTCAAGGCATCAAGCATGGTTTCCTTCACTTCAGTCCTTTTTCAGTAATGCCCAACTCTTCATGACCCCATTTGGGGTTTCCTTGGCAGAGAAACTGGAATGGTTTGTCATTTCCTTCTCTGGCTTGTTTTACAGATGAGGAAACTGAGTCAAACAAAGTTAAGTGACTTGCCCAGGGTCACATAGCTAGCGAGTGTCCAAGGCTGGAAAATGAGCCTTCCTGATTACAAGCCCAGTGATCTAACCACTTAGCCACCTATGGAAGCCCTATGGCTTCCTTGCCTTCTTTTAATTCTCAGCCTAAGTCACCTTCTGGAAGAAGCTTTCCTTAAACATACCTTTTGAGATTATCTTCAGTTTATCTTGTCTAAATTTTGTTTGCATGCTGTCTTTCCCAGAAGACTATGAGCATGGGGACTTTTTGTTTTTTAACCATTCTTTATATCCCAAGACTACCACATAGCAGACACTTAATAAATGCTCATTAACTTGACTTAAGAGTTCTGGACTTGATGTCAGGAAGACTTGAGTTAGAATCCCACATTAAATACTTCCTATCTGTGTGAATCCAGGCAAGTCACATAACCTCTCTGAGACTCATTTTCCTAACTGTAAAATTGGGGCAATAATATCCATTGTTATGGTATTATCAAGAGTATCAGTGAGGTGTACAGACTACATACATACAGCACTTTGAAAATTCAAAAGTACTATATATACGTAACAATTACTGTTATCATCACTTGCTTAATTTACAATGAAATCTAACTCCAATGCATTGTCATGGGATGGAGGTGACCCTGAATTCTTGAAGGCCAAGACAGCCCTGCTCTGATTCTGGTGGATTCTATCAATAGCAGAAGCAGATATTTATACAGGGTTTTAATGCTGGCAAAATGCATTATGTTCATTAACTAATTTTATCCTCACAAAACCGTGTGAGGTGGGTACTATTATTATCCCTATTTTCCAGATTAAAAAATCCCGAGGCTCAGAAAAATGAAGAGATTTGCCCAGATCACACAGAGAGGAAGTATCTGAGGTGGGAGCCTAACCCACATGCAGGCTAGCATCCTTTCCACTGTCAAATTGCCTCTTATACTGTGCTACAGAAGCTCTGAATATGAGTCTAGAGGCTGTCTTTAGAGGAACACTCTGGCTAAATTCAGGAAGGTTCAGCAGCATAAAGTTGATGAATTTTGGGAACTACCCAACTTATGAAAAAACCTACCTAACTTATGAAAAAACTTACTCAGGCCTAGAGGGGTTGCCATTTGTATGGGTTTAGGGCTTTACCCACACAATAGAAATATCTGGAATGTTGATATCATGCTGGGCTCTGATGGGGATAAAAAGATAAGGGCCTTGTCCATGAACTTATGGTCTAATTAGGGAGACAAGATGGAACAATTAGGAAACAACAGAAATCAGTATATGCTAAATGACAAAGAGTACAGAAAAGAAATGCTTTGGGAGTGTGCAGAAGGGAGAAATCGCAATGGGTCAGAACCCATAGGGGAAGGCCTGATGAAGAGGGGCTGGAATTTCAGCTGGGCCAGTATCCCTCTAAGAGCCATCCTATTGCTGGCTGGACAAAGGCACTTTCCAATTCCATGGGAAGAATTTTGTCCCTTGGGCACTGCACTCTCCCCACCCCCATGTCCTGGCATTGTGTTTTTTTCACACACACAGAAACATGGATCACCCATCAGTTGTTCCTTTCTTGCTCTTAATTAATGTTTTATTCCTTCCAGATGGTGAAGGGCTCTTAGCAAGACGAGAACTATCGCACTCCCATCTTCTTTGTGCTCCTCTGATAGAGGCAGAGTGGAGTTTGAGTCTCATTAAAATGGCATATTAGACAGAGTGAGACAATGTCTGAGACAGAGAGGAGCTGTGCTGTGTGATGAAGAGCTGTGCTGGTTGTTGGGGATTCTGGAGTCAGACTGCTTATTAATGATAATACAGCACACCTTGGATTGCTATGCTTCCTTTTCCCATCAGGCATTTGCAGAGTTTTGCCTCATCCCTCTTCACAATGTCCCTCTGAAATAATCTGGGTGCAAAGAGTATTCTTCCTTTTTTTCCAGATGAGTAAACAGTCCCAGAGAGGCTAATTCACTTTTCCAGAGTCATACAGTAAGGTAGAAATGGGGCTAGAACCAGAACCCTGGGGTTCTGACTCTCAAGCCTGATCTTTATCCCATAAACAATACTGCTCAGCAATTATCATGTTAAAATTTCAAAGCACCTTAAAAATATGGATCCTTTAATCCTTACAATGTCCTTATTAGGAATTTAAGATCAATCAGCAAGTATTTCTTAAACCCCTACTGTGTGCCAGGCACTGTTCTAAGTTCTAGGAATATAAATAAGAGCATAAGTAGTCCCTGCTCTTAAGGAACTCACAGTCTATAAGAAGAAAAGATAAATTATGTACGAACAACATATATATATATATATATATATATATATATATATATATATATATATATATATATATATATATATATATATATACACAAAATACATATGTGTGTGTGTATTTATATTTATATATCAGCTAGGTGGTATAATAAAGTATCGGACCTAGAGCAGGGAGATCTGAGTTCAAATCTGGCCTGAGACCCTTAAAAGCTCTGTGACCCTGAGCAAGTCACTTAACCCTGTTTGCATCACTTCTCATCTGTAAAATGAGCTAGAGAAAGAAATGGTAAATCACTCTAGTATCTCTGTCAATAGAACTTCAAATGGGGCCACAAAGAATCAGACAAGACTGAAAAACACCATCATCCATGCATCACTCGAGAGACAGAGAAAATAAATTGGTAGAACGTACCTTCTCCATATCTTGTTTTGCCATCCTTTGCTAGTAGAGACAAAGGAAGGTTCAGAATCTCAGTCCTAGACAAAAGCCTAATTAGACCAGTGTGGACCTGGTTCTCATCAATAGTCTTCACTCTTAGCTGTCTTATGAGCTCAGACAATTTCCTTTATTTTCCTACTTAGAAGCAGACCAGCAGGATCCTAATCTAGGGGTGCCCACTCTTCTCAGGAACAACAGGATAGTACATGTCTCACTATGCCATCCACAAATGGGATGACCCAGAAGAAAACAAACTAATCCCCATAACTGGCCAGTAGCAGGAGTAAGATCAAACATTAGGCAAATTGAATTCCTCAGTTTACACACTCCTATAGAGCCATGAGCTAAGAAATCACAGAATTCCCTTGGCAAGGAGGAGAAAGGCAGACTGTATAGGATCAAATCATCAGCATCAGTGTGGTCCTTGATGTGGATGCTTAGTAGGCCCAGGCTTACTCCCCCGATGAAAGGCGGCAGCTTCAATGGTGAGAATTTGGGGCCAGCTGTTTTACCTAGAGAAGTCATGTCGCCCAACCTCCCATCTGCATCCTTACCCCCTTAACTTCTCAGCAGTGGCAGCCATCTCTAAAGCTTGTGATTACATTGTGGGCGTGGTTTCTCCCAAGTTCCCTCTTATCTCTGAGCAGTCACATGTTGACATTCTAAGGAATGTTGTCAGCTATACCAGATTCATGATTCTGATAGAAATTTCCCAAGATCATGTAAGAAATCAGTAGGATAACTAGAATTGAGAATTGTCCAAATCCAAGGTGTCAGTGGAACTCTATGGTGGTCAAGTTCTAGTCTCTATTTCATTTCTGCCTGTCATCACTACTGCCTCCCCTACCCCAAGTCACACCACCCCTGCTTTCCCTCAAATCCATAAGACAGAGGTTGGAACAGAAGTCATCCCCAAAATGGCCCACCTCTTTTCCCTGACTCAGGGCTCACCATTAGGCCAACTTTTTTCCAGCTGCTCACTCACACTCCCATGGGGTGTGGATGCTTCATACAACGTCTGGGAGGTTACTATTTTTGTTGAGACTCGGGTTGCTATAGAGTCATCTCAATATGAATATGCATCCAACCCTGCAACATTATTTCTGTCTTAGTTTATTTGTGCAGGAGGAGGAGGAGGGAGAAAGGAGTGGGCAGGTAGCTCATAGGGTTAGAAGGTGGAAAAAAGTAGAAAGGTGACGATCATGCCTGATGAGACCTACTATTTCTGGAGCTTCCTCCCTGCCAAGGGTCTCCAAGTACTTTACCAAAATCCAATATTCTTCCTTTCTACCTCCCAATACTCCTCAAAAAAAAAAAATTGGTCAGCCTCTACCAGATTTTTGAACGTACAAGATAAATGGAGAAAAGTCATCCCAGCACTCCTGGCGGTACTCTAATCATTTACCAGCATCAGTAAGGTAGCGTGGCATAATAGAATGAGCTCTGAACTGAGATTCAGAAATCCTAACTTAGCTCAAGACCTAGCTCTGATTTCTGCTTGCTCTGTGACCTTGGGCAAAATATGCCTTTGTTTCTTCATCTGTAAAATGGGGATTTTAACACATGCATTACCTACTTTGCAAGGTTGGGATTATTAAAGCATTTTGTGAAGCTTGCAGCATTATAGAAGGGAGAGAGATTATTACTAAACCCCATACACAACAGAAGTGAATGGTTTTTCACAGTACTTAGCACATAGTAGGTAGTTTATCAGTGCTTGTCAAGTTGATATTGTTGAGCTAATGAAGGCTTCGCAACCAGCACAGCCCATATCTTCTTACCTTTGAGGGCACTGGGATATTTTGAAGGAAAGTATGGCTGAGACACAGGTAGAGGATTCACAGGGTGACTTTCCTTTTATCCATGAGAATAGGATGGTGGTAGGAAGACACCTCCATGAAGGAAGGAAAAAAAAGGAAGAGGGAGGAGAAAAGGAAACAAGCATTTAACAAGCAATGACCTCGTGCCAAGTACTTTATGAATATTATCTCATTTGATCCTCACAACATCCATGGGTGGTGGGTGCCATTGGGATCTTCATTGTACAATTCAGGAAGCTGTGACAGACAGAAGTTAAGTAACTTGCCCAGGGTCTTACTCAGATAGTGTCTGAGGCCAGATCTGAGCTCAGATCTTCCTAATTCTAGGCCCAGTACTGTATCCACTGCACCATCTAGAAGAGTTATGCCTTGTACTTGACACTGACTCTGGCTTTCTTCTTTCTCAGTAATTTGCTTTCCTGGGAAAAGCTTGTTTGTGAGAGGTCCCTGCATAGTAAGATTTGTATCAGTTCATTAGGCATAGGCTGGAATTACCATAAATTCCTCCTAAATAGGTACAGCATACTAGAGGAATATGAAGATTTTTCACCAACTTGCATCTTCTGCCCCCGTATTCCCCATGGCGACTGTTCCCTCCTGTCTCTACCTGTTATTCAACCACTTTTTGAACTTGGAGCAAATGAGACTGACTGAAGGCCATCAGGAAAGATGGGGTATTAGTGGCCATTGGGAAGATGGGGTAAACTGAAGGACATAATAGAATAACCCTAATCAACTATGGTGGTGTTGTTTTGTTTTGTTTTGTTTTTAATTCTGAGAAGTCAGGAGACTTTCTCCAGCCAGGTAAAGTTACAAAAAGGAGGGAAGCAAGATGGAATTCCTGGTTCTTGGGGGTTATGGTGACCTTCCAGGAAGGAGAGATCATTTTTAACCAGAGAAATCAGAAAATCAATCAATCAATTAACAAGCATGGATTATCGATTATGTTTCAGGTCCTGAAGATACAAAGACAAGAAGGAAACAAGACCTGACATCAAGGAGCTTATGTTCAATCAGGGGAAATAACACACACGAATAAGTGAACAATGTCTTAATCTTGTCTAGTTTTTGTATATCATTCATCTCCTAACTCTTTATGCCTCCATAATCTTGTCAAAGACTTTCCTTTGATCTTTTTTTTTTTGTTCAAAGAGAATAAAAATATTTAGCCTTGCTCCGTTGGATGAAAAATTCTTCCCTGGTATTCCTTTCTGTGATGTAAAGCTCATTCCCTCGTGGCCATAAGTAATAAATCTATGCTTTGATTAAGCTGGAAATTGTTGTTAATTAGGCTTTGGTTTTATTCTTTAAAAAGAATTTCCAGAGATTCAAGGCACTGCTACTCTTCTCCATGCCACCCTAACCCCTAAATGGAAAAGTGACCAGGTTTCCACACAGACTCCTGGGAAAATGGCCAGTTGCCCCAACTCTACTTGCTACAGGGTGTGGCCATTTTTCTTCATCTCATCCTCAGAGAAATAAAAAACCCATAGTTCACCCTCATTCCTTGTGCTAGTAGCTTATATTTATGTAATGCCTTATAACTTTCAAGATGCTTTCCTCACAACAGCCTTCTGTAAGGTAAGAAGCAAAAGTATGATTTACCCTCTTTTTACTCCAATGCTTGGACGGAACTATGACCCCTACAGATGTAGATGGTCCCTGCAGTGATGCAGATCACCACAATCCATGCTTGCCCATCCTGCACAACTTTCCTCCATAAGTTCATCACAGAGGCTCCCCACAAAGTGCTATGGATTAGGACTTATAGAGGAATATGTGTCTGCCAGTGTGATAGCTGGTGAATGTTAAGAGTCAAGATTCAGACCCAGGTCTTTTGACTCCAAGCCCAAAGTTCTTCTAGTATTCTGTATTGCCTCTCCCCATAACATCACTTACTAAAATATTATTACCCTTCCTGCATTTATTCTCCTGAGTCCCAGGTTCCTCATCTGTACAATGAGGGCGTTAAACTTGATGACCTCATAACTCTCTTCTAGCATTATAGTTATGGTCTTACAATTCTTTAATAGGAGGAGGAGGAAGAAGAAGAAGAAGAAGAAGAAGAAGAAGAAGAAGAAGAAGAAGAAGAAGAAGAAGAAGAAGAAGAGTGGAGAAGGATGTGGAGGAGGTGGTGGAGGAGGAGAGGAAGAAAGGAAGGAAGGAAAGAAGAAAAAGGAAGAGAATGAAAAGGAAAAAAGATGGAAGAAAGAAAAGGAAAATGAGAGAGGAAAGAAAAAAGGAAAGAAGGAAGGAAAAAAGAAAGAAGGAATAAAAGATAGAAAGAAGAGCAGCAGGGCAGCTAGGTGGTGCAGTAAATAGAGTGGCCCTGGATTCAGGAGGACCTGAGTTCAAATTCAGCCTCAGACACATAACACTTACTAGCTATGTGACTGTGGACAAGTCACTTGACCCCAAATGCCTCACCGGAAGGAAGGAAGGAAGGAAGGAAGGAAGGAAGGAAGGAAGGAAGGAAGGAAGGAAGAGGGAGGGAAGGGAGGGAGAGAGGGAGGGAGGAGAAGGAAGGGAGGGAGGAAGGAAGGAAGGAAGGAAGGAAGGAAGGAAGGAAGGAAGGAAGGAAGGAAGGAAGGAAGGAAGGAAGGAAGGGAGGGAGGGAGAGAGGGAGGGAGAGAGGGAGGGAGGGAGAGAGGGAGGGAGGGAGGGAGAAAGGAAGGAAGGAAGGAAGGAAGGAAGGAAGGAAGGAAGGAAGGAAGGAAGGAAGGAAGGAAGGAAGGAAAAAAAGAAAATAAAGAAAGGAAGAAAGAGCAGACCTGTTTCCCATTTCCCATTTAGATATGCTAAATAGTCCTCCTATGTCTTCTCTCTGTCTGTTTTGGCTTCTCTCTCTTCCCTTTTCATCAGACATTTGTATTGGCAGTGGTCCATTATCCCTCCTCCCCTCACCATTCTTTCCACTGTGCCGACTACAGTAGGCCAGTCATAAAAATCCAGCATCCACCAATCGATTTTGGAACCATCCAGTGAATTAACCAGAACCTTTTCTGCAAGAGTCTTCAAGCTGTTCTGATAGCTGCTCTTTACTCCTCCTCCTCCTGTCCTCTCCACATTGCTATTTATCGATCTGCTTTTGTGCCCCCTGAGTGATGGATCACCAGGTATCAAACCTCGAAGTGTTCATTTAACGGCGCTGAATAAAACATTACTCACAGATTAACTGAGCAGTTTTAAGTGAACAACCATTTTCATCTGTTTTAAATTTTCATGGGTACTTTTCTGAAGAACAAGTACATTGTTAATAATTGAGGGGAATGAGACCTTGTTAATCTCTTTGTATTTTAATAAGGTCCTACTGTGCCTGGGTCATTTATATTTAAAACAGTGGCATTTTTCTCCCTGAAGTTGTTTCATTGGGGGTGCTGGGGGGGGGGGGAAGAATTAATATTCTGGACCGAACTTTAAAGAAATTGTTGATGGATGGGGGTGATGGAAAGAGCAGTAAGGTTCCAGGGCTTGGGAACTGAACATGGGAACTGAACCAAGACATCAGAGAGTGCTGGAAAAAGTAGAGTAGGTGGATTCATTCCAAATAAAGGGACAGAACTAGAGCAGAAGGACGATCAGGCAAGCAGTTGGGTGTCACACTTGGCAAAAAGATGTAGAAAGATAGACAAGTAGAGAGATAACGAAGAAAAGCAAGAGAAGAAAAGGCTACACATTACCTTGGATGTTTGAAGAACAAGGGGAAATACCAGACTGAGAGCAGATGGGAAGGAATTTGAACTCATGACCTCCGTTTAATGAGCATGAATCCTTCTCTACTGGGCTTCTTCCTCTACAAGGCTATGAATGTACTCCCCTTGCTTCCTCACACTTAAAGATAAAGGGATGGATGATGACCTTTCAAAGGACCTCCAAGATTATGATACCATAAATAAATCTAGGTTTGAACTTTTCTCCATTCCACATCCCATTTTTCTTGCTCCAGTTGGTTCAGATTTGGGAGTGCTCTGTGATACTACAGAAGAAGGAAACATTCCCTCAGCTCAGCAACCTAAATGTCTAAAACACCTGCTCACCCACCCACCTGACCACCCACCATCAGGGGTCCAACACTTCACCCACACCCATCAAAGACTTGACTAAGCACCTCTACCTTACTCCACCAGGTGATAAAGTAGCTGCCCAGATTGCAAGATGGGGAAATAAATTAATGCCGCTGGGTCAGAGGAAAGAGAAAGAAGGAAAGAGAGATTGGTTTGGACGGCACAGCTTGGGCTTGGATTGAAAGCCATTGAAGTGAATGATTTCATGCAACAAGCTGTTAAAACACGCTGTGAGGGGAGCTTAAAACAGCTCCATGTGAAAGCCTTACTCCACTAGAAAAATCAACTTTTCATATTTATAGCCAGGCGAAGTGCAGCCCAACCTCAGAGACATGGTTTGGCTGACACTTTCCTGGCCTGAGAATGTCAAGAAGATGGGCTAGGTGATGAAAGAGATTAGATATGTCAATATGCTGTATGAGACCTGCTTACCCTGGGCTGGACTAATGACATAGGAGCGGATGATGATAGAAGGGGAATCCTTAGACCCTACTGTAAAACTGTGAGCTCAAACTTATTTTTGGTATTACCATTGTGCTGACTAAATGCTTTATGGAAATATCTGCCATATGAGTAGGTACTCATTTCTAGGGGGGATTTTTTAAAAAGAGAAAGAGAGAGAGGGAGACTGGTGTCAGAAAGATGGGTTATTGGCCTCAAACGTCCTGGACTTAAGCAAACAATTCAGTCGCTATCAACCACAAATTGATGCCCATGATATCTGGAATTCCCTCATTAGAAAGTCTTGCCTTTTTTCCAAAGAGACTATTCCCAGATAAAAGATAAATACTCCTGAGAATGAATGAATGAAAAAGCATTTCCTAATTGTTTACTATGTGTCAAACACTGTTTGCATTAACCCTAGAAGGGCTAATACATGAAAACATTTGTGAATTCACCTTAAAATAAGTTAGTCTGTAAGACTTTTAACTTCTATGAAACTTTAGTTGCCTTCCCTGTATATAGGGAATAATTATATTTATACTCCCTAACTCCCAGGATGGTTGTGAAGAAAGGACTTTATAAAGTTAAATGTTATATGGTGAGTTATCAGATTCTTTCCAGAGTGACCACTAGTTATGAGCAGAGCCTTCAAGAATGAAACTGAAATAGAGAATATTTGAAAGAAGGAAGGGTGAAGTGATGCTGGTCCAGAATAAGACACTATCCCCAAAGGATGGGCCTGAATAGGGTAAACTGGCTACCCAGGGGTTGGCAATTGGGCACTGAGTAACTGAGAAAGGTAGTGTGGGGGAAGAGTGCTGAAAGGGGCAGAATGACAATAATAAAAATGCACTTCAACTCAACTCAGTCTACTCAAGCAAGGCCAACCCTGTTTTAAGCTGGTGAAGAGAAAGGCTGTTACATTGATTCCACCCAGAAGTTGTCCATTTCCAGTGAGGATGCTGCCTTCCATACAGATTTATTTCAGACATAGGGGAGAACTTCCTGACTTCAACGGTCATGAAAATTGGGTATCCAAGACAGGTATGTTATCTCCTTACCTGTGCGTGTCAAAGAAAATGTCCATATAGCAGAGGAGCAATCCTACCTGAAACAGACTAGAAGACCCTTACTCCCCCCCTCCCTTCACCCCATCCCTTATCCCAGCTCACCTTTATTCCGTGGATTCTAAGAAATACGTGTCCAGTGGTGTCTCAGTAAATGAAGAACCAGGGAACAGTTTCCTTCCTATCTCTTCCAGCTTTTCATAATGCATCAAACATGTCAGTATGAGTGAGCCCCAACTCAAGGATCTCCCAGAATTACTAACCTTCCTTCTGGGCAAAGCTCAAACCAAAAAAAAAAAAAAATCCACATCACTTGGGGGAGTATGGTCAGTGTCAGCCAAACTGCAAGAAGCTGCTTTTCAGCTCCCTCTGAACTGCATGATGAGGCTATCACAGAAGGGATACTTCCAGGACAAGCTGTGGGTCCAGCAGCTTGGCTAGGCTCACTCAGGGCACCTGCCAGTTGGCTTTGTTCATACTGTCTTTCTGTCAGCTCAGCAAAAATCCCCAATTTCCTTAGAATTATGGACTATCAGAATTCCAAGGGACTTAAGAAGTCATTTAGACCAACTTGTATCTGCTCAAGAATCCTTTCTATACCATCCTTGACTCTTGATCATCTAGTCACTTCTTGAATCCCTCCGATGATTTCGAATTCCCCACCTTTCAAGACAGCCCACATTTTTTTATCAAGTCCAGATTTGCCTCTTTGTGTTCTACCCATTGATTCCAATCTGGCCTTCCAGGACCAAGCAAAAAAAGTATTGGTCCATGTTTTTGTCCTTCAAATACTTGAAAATAGTTCTCCTGCTTCCACAAGTCTCCTCTTTTCTTGGGTCAACATTTCCTGGGGTTTTTTTTAATGAATCCTTAATTGGAATTGTTTTGGATCTTGTACCATCTTCTTCGTGCTCCCTTAGACATGTTGGAGGTGTTGGAGTTTCTAATGGCCTTCCTAAAATGTGGCAGCCAGACCTAGGTATAACATTCTAAATGTAGTCTGACCAGGAAAGAGGATGCCAGAATTATCACCTCCATCGTCCTGAGCACTATGCTCCTTTTTGGGCAGCCTGAAGTTGCCACAGCATTTTTGACTATCATATCACAGCATGAATTCATATTGAACTTGTGGTCTACTAAAACTGCCAGATCATTTTCACCCAAAATGTTGTCTAATTATGTCTCCTGTATTCAATTCAATTCAATAAACATTAATCAAGTGCCTACTATGTGCTAGGTACTGTGCTAAGCTCTAGGGTAGCAAAAAAAGCAAAAGAAAAACAGTTCCTGGGGTGGGTAGGTGGTGAAGTAGATAGAGCACCGGCTCTGGAGTCAGGAGGACCTGAGTTCAAATACGGCCTCAGATATTTGATCACTTGATACTTACTAGCTGTGTGACTCTGGGCAAGTCACTTAACCCCAACTGCCTCACAAAAGCAAAAACAAAAAACAACAGTTCCTGCCCTCATGGAGCTTGCCATCTAATGGGAAAAGACCACACACAAGTTTCTGTATCCTATACACGTGCATGTAATTTTTTTAAACCTAAGTGCAAGGGGCAGCTAGGTGGCACAGCACATAGAGCACCCAGCCCTGGAGTCAGGAGGACCTGAGTTCAAGTTTGGCCTCTGACACTTGACACTAGCTCTGTGACCCTGGGCAAGTCACTTAACCCCAATTGCCTCTCAAAAAAACAAAAACAAACAAAAAAAAACCCAAAATGCTTAATTAAAACTAAGTGCAGAATTTTATGTTTGTGCCTATTAAATTTCATCTTATTGTATTTGACCTCCTGTTTTAGCCTGCCAAGATATTTTTGGATTTGAATTCTATTGTCCAACATATGAGCTATTAAATTGGGATAAGTGAATGGAATTGCATATTTTTGCACTGAGAAATGATTAACCCTAAGAATAGAGAAGACTTGGCATGAACTGATACAAAGTAAAATAAGCAGTACCAAGAAACCAATATGCACCACTAATGCAATATAATATGATAATATACCATCCCCCCTTTTTGTAAAAGTGAAGCACTATGGGTGTGGAACATTGCATGTAATGTCAGACTTGGTCAAAGGGTTGGTTAGTTTTGCCAAATTGTTTTTCCCCCTCTTACTTTCTCATTCTTTGTCATAAAAGATGACTCACTGGGAGAAAGAGGGGAGAAAAAGATGTCAAGCTATGAAAGTGACGTAAAAACTAAAGCAATAAATAATTTTTCAAATGTGAGCTCTCGCTCTCTCTCTCTCTCTCCTAACTCTGTGTTATTCAAAAACATGAAAAACAAGTCTTCTGTAACTTCATCCAAGTTATGAGTAAATTACTATTCTGTAAAGTCAAGAACATATCTTTAGTACATTCCACCAGAGACCTTCCTCCAAGATGACATCAATTTTAAAATCTTCACTCTTGAATTAATTTCCAAAGCTATCAAACGCTATTGTCATTAAAGTCATATTTCTCCATCTTATCCAGAAAAATATCATATGAGACTCTGTCAAAGGCTTTTCTGAAATCTAGATATACTGTATCTATGTCATTCTCTAACCTATGAGTCTAACACCTGTCAAAAGAAGAAATGAAGTTAGTCTGCCATGACAAGTTCTTGATGAGCCCATTCTGGCAAAGTGATCAATACTTTCCTTTCTAAAGGTTCATAAACCATCCCATTAATAATACGTTCTAGAATTATGTCAAGCATCTCAGCCAAGCTCTCACTTTTTTATAGTTTGGAGAATCTACCTTTGCCTATCTCCAGTTTCCCAGTACCTCTCTTGTTCTCCATTATTTTTTCAAAGATTGCCTTCAGCAGGTAAGCAATAATATCCACCAGTTTTTTCAGTATGTTGAAACATTGTCTGGGCCTGATGAATTGAGCTGACTAGGGAACGCTAAGTACTCTTTTACCACCTTTCTCACTTAACTTGAGTTTCAACTCTCTGTTAACCATTTTTTCTCGTCTTCCTAGTTTGAAGATTATTCTTCCTTGTCTCTGTCATCCATTATTATCATCCCATCTACTTCGAGCTGTACCTCTATCCCTTCCTTGTTCTTCCTTTTGCCCGCAGCATACCTGGGGGGAAAAAACCAAAAACCTTTGTTGGCTAAGGCATTTATTGTCAGTCTCTGCTTGTTCTGGACTTCATCAGTTTTTTTATAATAGTATTTTATTTTTTCCACTAATATATATATATATAATATATATATATATATATATATATATATATATATATAAACAATTGTTAACACTTTTTTGGAGTTTCAAATTCTCTCCCTCCTTCCCTTCCCTCCCCCCTCCCTGAGATGGCAAGTAGTTTGATATAGGTTATATATGTGTAATCATGCAAAACATATTTCCATATTGGTCATGTTGTGAAAGAAAACACAAACAAAAGCCCCACAAAAAGTGAAGTGAAAAATAGTGCCCTTTGATCTACATTTAAACTCCATCAGTTCTTACTCTGGAGATGGATAGCATTTTTTATCATGCATCCTTTGGAATTGTCTTGCATCATTGTATTACTGAGAAGACCTAAGTCATTCACAGTTGATCATTATACAAAATTGCTGTTACTGTGTACAGTGTTCTCCTGATTGTGTTCACTTCACTTTGCATCACTTCATGTAAGTCTTTCTAGGTTTTTCTGAAATCATCCTGCTTATCATTTCTTATAGCTCAATAGTATTCCATCACAATCATATACTACAACTTGTCTGGCCACTCCCCAGTTGATGAGCAGTCCCTCAATTTCCAATTCTTTGCCACCACAAAAAGAGCTACTACAAATATTTTTGTACAAATTAGGTTCTTTTCATTGTTCAAACTTCTTTGAGATAAAGACCTAGTAGTAGTATTACTGGGTCAAAGGGTATGCACAAATTTATAGCCCTTTGGGCATGGTTCCAATTGCTCTCCAAAATGTTTGGATCAGTTCACAACTCCATCAACCCCACATCCCCTCCAACATTTATCATTTCTTTTCTGTCGTATTAGCCAATCTGATAGGTATGAGGTGGTACCTCTGAGTTATTTTAATTTGTATTTCTCTGATTAATAGTGATTTAGAGACTTTTTTCATATGACTATAGATAGCTTTGATTTCTTCATCTGAAAACTGCCTGTTCATATCCTTTGACCATTTATCAATTGGGGCATGACTTACATTCTTATCACTTTGAATCAGTTCTCTATATAGTTTAGAAGCAAGGAATGGGACAATTTACTTAATGTCTTTGAGCTTCAGTTTCTTAGTTGGACTAGATTGCCTCAGGTCCCAACAACTCTAAATCTATAGTTCAAATATTCTCAACCATGATTCTCCTTACAGTTTATGAATATCCTCCTATGACTGTCTCATATAATGCAGCTCTAAGGTCCATTATATCTAATTTGCTCCTTTTGAATAAGTTATACCTCTCCATTGCCAAATCCAGTCGTGATGCGCCCCAAGTCTCATGATACCAACTGTAGATTATGACTAAGCAGCAATAATCACGATAATATTACCAGATCACATTATAAACTGGTTAAAATTTTATAGAAGTGCTTTCGGAGTAGACTTCCCTTCATCAATAAAAAGAAAATCTAACAATAAGTGAAGGGCAGCTAGGTGGCACCATGGAGAGAGAGCCAGGCCTGGAGTCAAGAACACTCATCTCCCTAAGCTCAAAGCTGGCTTCAGATACTCACCAGCTGTGTGACTCTGGGCTAGTCACTTCACCCTGTCTGTCTCAGTCTCTTCATCTGCAAAATGAGCTGGAGAAACCACTCTGGTGTCTTTGTCAAGAAAACCCAAAATGGAGACGTGAAGATTTGGACATGGCTGAAACAACTGGACAACAGTAGGTGCCACTCAACGTGTCAAATGTAACCAAAAGTGGTTCATCTTCAGAAAAAGTGTATAAAACTGCAGATATCCAAGAGGGGGATCCAAAGGCCATCCCTGGGCAATATCCACATGAATTGAACCCGAAATGTGTCAACAAAAAAACATCAGATAGCTAAGTTAGCACATTTGTTGGAATGCTGTCTGATAGCAATTCAGGATCAGGTCATCACCACCAGGAATTCCAGGGGCATTATCCTGGGAAAAGCTTTTGTTGCTGCTGTTCAGTTGTTTCAGTCGTCTCCAACTCTCCATGACCCCATTTGGGGTTTTCTTGGCAGAGGTACTGGAGTGGTTTGCCATTTCCCTCTCCAGCTCATTTTACAGATGAGGAAACCAAGGCAAACAGGGTTTAGTGACTTGCCCAGGGTCACATAGCTAGTAAGTGTCTGAGGCCAGACGTGAACTCCTGAAGATGAGTCTTCCTGATTCTAAGCCCAGCGATCTATCCACTGTGCCACCTAGCTGCCCCGAGGCTTCTTAATTTATGATCAATACGAACTGCTGGCCAACTGCCACCATCAGGAAAAGCAATTCTGCCTTGCTGAAGCAGCAAAAAGCCCTGAGGGAAAAATAAGAAGCTGCATATGCTAGGCTATCAAACCTGCCACCACCTCATCCACTGTGACCATCACTTCCCCTCGCACTCTGATGGCAACAGCTCAGCCCTCTGAAGCCCACAAGTGCTAGGAATAGCAGTGCCCTCAAGACTTCCAACCCTGCTTCTAGGTGGGCCCTACAGCCGCTCTCCAGAATTGCTCCTCTTTGTATCTCTAGCACTTCATTAGAATGCAAGCTTGGAGCAGCTAGATGGCACAGTGGGTAGAGCACTGGCCCTGGATTCAGGAGGACCTGAGTTCAAATCTGGCCTCAGACACATAACACTTACTAGCTGTGTGACCCTGGGCAAGTCACTTAACTCCATTGCCTAGCCAAAAAAAAAAAAAAAAGACTGCAAGCTCCCTGAGAGCAGGGACTGTCTTTTGCCTTTCTTTGTATTCCTAGCACTTAGCACCTGCCAGGAACATAGTAGGCACTTAATAAATACTTATTAACTGACTGGCTCAAAACAGTCCTTTGCACATGGTAAGCACTTAAGAATTCTTTTTTTATTCTTTCATTCAATACAAATTATTCAAGTAAATAACAGAAAGAAACTGTACAATCCCTCACTGCACTTTTCTAGAACCTTAGCACCTGGCAAGACATGACCTTGTGGCAAGAACTATATATCAGAAGCTCACAATCTTTCATAAACTAATAGATAATAAATCTCCATACTATAAATGTAGACCTCAGAATATTATTGAGAATTCAACAAATAAGCTGTATTTGAACCAGGGTGTTAACGATAGACAAAACTGTTGCCCACAATCACCCAGACATAGTATTTATCCACATAAATTTAAGAACAATATTTTAATAGCTGGCACCTATCAAATACTAATAATTTATAAGCTACATAAAATAAAGCAGATTTAGTGAAAGAAATAAAAACCATAAGGGAAGAAGATAAGGTATCTATCACCCCCATCATCCTGTCTGCTACCGTAACTGTCCTAATGATGCTTTCACTAAATCTACAGCTTCCATCTCAATACTTTTATGCAATTATTTTTTAAATGGTTATTTTATCCACTTGTGTAATGGTACATAGAACATTAAATACAAGATAATAATAGCAAGATAGTGATTTATCCCTGTATACTCTTTCTATCTGAACATCACAGAAGAAAAAAGATAATTATTGCTAATAATAATAATAGAATACATTTCCATATCACGTTAAAATTTTCAATGCAATGTTACCCCCATTTTACAGATGAGGAAATTAATGTTCCAGGAGAACAAGAGACTTGCCCGGGATGACCCAATGTCAGAACTGGAATTCAAAACCAGACCTCTTTACCCTGAATTCAGCTCTCTTCGCCATCAGCACAGACATGTGCTGCCTCATCTTTAAGGTTAAAATTAACTATTTATGTTAAGAATATCTCCTATTCACTTTGAGCTGTGTGATACTCAGAGCAGTAGCTTTGGAGTCTGAGGATGTGGGTTTGAATCCTAGTTCTGTCTCTTACTGCCTACAGGAGTGTGGATGACTGCTACCCTCTCCCTGTGCCTCTGTCTCCTCATCTGCAAAAGCAGGGGGTTAGGCTGCATGACCTCAAAGGCTCTTCTAGCTCTAAACCCTATGATCCTATGAAATGAAAGACTGACACATCGGTTTTTTCTCACCTACTTCTCAACACAGTCCCCCTCCTTTCTCTGCCTTTCATGGCAGGGAAAACATCCCTCCTCCTGCCTACCACATTTCTTCTGACCTTTGCCCCACCTCTTTCAAGAAGCCTTCTTGGATTGACAGATTATTCTTTAACCCACCAACCAAATCTTTAGTCCCACATTTTTTTCTATACTAAAGTTTACCACTGAGAGTAATTAATTTTTATAGAATGTGCTCATATAGGGAGCCATAGTGATTGATGAGCCTGACTGAATCAAGAACAACTTCAATTCAAATTCTGCTGCTGAAACATACTGATTGTATGACCCTGGGTAAGTCACTCAGACTCTAAGAGCCGCAGGTAGCTAAGACTTCTAGTTACAATGCAGATGCTGAGCTATGTTTGAAGAGGGGGCTTCCTCCCCATAACAGTGAGTGAAATCACAAGTCCGGGTACCACTAACTTCCCTCTCCCCCCAAAACATAGTTTTATTTATTTATTCATCAATTTGTTTATTTATTTATTTTGGGGTCAGGTATTTGCACTGACTAGTTAGAGACAGGGAAAGGGGAGAGAAATAAGAGTTCTGACTTGTTTTATTTTTCAAGTAAAAAAAAGCCTTTGAGAATGATATATTTATGTTGGTTTTAGGTGTGTGCTGTTAGAGCAACTGTATTACTCCCATTATATTCTGCTTTGACTCTGCTTGCTACATCCTGCCTAGTAGACTGTAAACATCTTGAGGACAAGAGCTGTGTTGTTTTTCACCTTTATGTCTCTAGCACTCATCACAGTGATATTCAATTAATAAATTTTGGTTAATTGATTTGAACTGAAATTAAATGAACTAAATCTGTTTGACATTCCTATTAAACTGTAAGCTTATTGAGGGCAGGGAATAAGTACCTTCTTCAGTTCTTCCATATATATCTCATACACTTCATATACTGCTGGGTACCCTA